GGGCCTGGGGGGGGCGGGAGAGGCGGTGGAGGGCTCCGAGGGGCGGGAAGGCGAAGCGGCGGCCGCCCGGGAGCAGCTGGGGTCTCTTGACTGATAATCCGCGCCTGCTTCTGCGAGCTGAAGGCGCTGCCTGACCGTAAGACGAGGAGGCGCGTGTCGGAGAGTAGCGCAGGAGAACGAGAACTAGCTCGAATGACCGGTCGGTTCAGCAGTGAGGGGTGGGCTTGCTCCTCCTCCCTCCTCCCGCGTTCCCTTGAGTTGTTTTTTGTTTTTCCTGCAGAAGACGCCCGCCTCCGTGTTTGTTTTTCCTGCAGAAGACTCGCGAGGCCCGCCTCCTGCACCGAAGGTCAAGGGTCCGAACGTGCTGAGGAGCCAGGACGTGGCGGTCGATGCCCCTGCGTGGTAGTGTTCTGCGGATCAGAGATGGACGTGGGCAAACTCCCATGCGGCAGCTCAGAACGCGGCGCGAGTTGGGCACCGGCTGCCGCTGCTAGGGCTGGGGACGAGCGAGAGGAGGCGTTCGGTCCTGCCGACTCGGGGAGGCAGGAGGGAGCGCATCGGGGGGATGCAGGCTTACGTTGTACGATGTGTACGGGAACCAACTCTGGCGGGAAACGGTTTAACGGGCCAAACTGCAGCAGAGCTGGTTTCTGCAGCTGTGAATCAAACGACTGTTCAGCTGGAAGTTTCATGCGGCAAAGCAAAGTTAACAGGTAACTCTTGACAGCGTGTGGCACTATTGCTTGAATTGATGTGCTTAACTTCAGCAGAGAGCTAAAGTCAGAATCAAGGACCTGGCGTAGCTGTGATCCGGAGTTCTCCGCGGGGCTCGCTTACTTCAGTACACCAAGGAAGCTTGCCTGAATCACAGACCGTGATGTTTATAATGGTCTCGCATGTAGATTAGATTGCTGCTGCCTGGGTCCTCATAAGCTGTTTGCCTCATTCTTAGATTGGCTGATCCAGATATGTCATTGACCCTTTTGTGGCTTCTATATATACTTAATCTAAAGACTGCATTTAGCAGTAGTAAACCAGAAATTACTTAAATATTTTTCCCAAAAGTTCAGGAAATCAATGAGGTGCTAATTTCTTTTTTTTTTCCCTAATTAAAAAAAAAAAAGGGCAGTATAAGAGCTGTAATTTATGGAATGTTGAACTAGCACGTAAAGCTAACATGCAATACTTGAACTTATTTAGTGATTTAATATAGTAAGAGTATGATACTAATAAAAATGCCAAATGTACAGAAGTTATTTAAAAGAACAGTGTTTGTATCTCATCTGTAGGGTTAGAATGAATCTGTGTTTTGAGGATATTGACTGCTTATTTTTCAGTCAGTGAAATAAGCAAAAGTAAAAAGAGGGAGATTTTGCCTGTTAATAACCTTGCAGCTGTTGAGGCCAATGACTCTGTTAAAGGTACAATGAAGACTCCCCAATCACATGAGAAATAAAATCTTGGCATCAGGTGTATTTTGAGGACCTCATGTTTCCCTGAAGTGCTTATAATCAGACACAGGCTTCAAGGCTAGAAAGACTTCTGTATGTATGAATCAGCATCTATTCATGACTTTAATACCGGTGAGATTTAGAAAATCTAGAGCAAACATCAGCTTATTTTTAGTTGCTAAGCGTCTTAAAAAGCAGATTGGTTATGATGTGACTTTGCCATCCATGACATGTTGGAGTTGGAAAGAAGAAAGGTAAAGGAGAAAAGATTAAGTAGCAAAGAAGTGAGAAAGATATAAGAGGAAATGTAGTGAATGAGCATTAGGACATTTCCAGATGTTCTGTGACTCTGCAGCCAAGCCCATAGAATGTTAATTTAGTGAATAATTTTAATTAGTTGACAGAAAGGAAGCTCCTATAGCAGAAGTCTCCAGTAAAGCTTAACCTCTCTTCTACAGTGAGCAGCTGAATTGGAGCCAGTCTCACAGAGATCTGATGATGATGATCCAAGAAATGAAAAGGTGTTTACCTGAAGAGAAAAGGAGTTCCAGCAAGCCCAGTACCATCAGTGCTCTCAACTATGCCTTGCAGTGTGTCCAACAGATCCAGGGTATGTCTGGAAAAAATCTGGAAGTGTAGAAGCTGTACAGCAGCTTGGTTTGAATAGATGTGTCTAGCGACAAATAACATTAAAACAAATGAAAGCATTCCAGTTATCCTAAAAACAATTGACTTTCTGAAGCACTGTGGGGTTTTGTTTTTGTTTTTAAATATTCATGTTATCTTTTGTATTGAAATGCCCACCTACTGCTTCTCTTTTCTTCATCCTGTAGCTAATAGGTGCCTATTAATAACTTTCTGTGTATATTGAAAAAACAGCATTCCTGTCCCACTTTGAAAAATTATTGCATAGTCTGTGTTTTCCCACAGAACTAAGTAGCTAAAGTAGTTCTTTTGCCATCGTGTTCTGTGCTTTCTACTTCCTTATGCTCATTTTCTGTAACGTAAGTAGGTCACTCCAACAGTATAATCAGTATTCTTTTTTCCTTTGTCACTACACAGACCTTCCTCATCTCACCTTGGACTTCACCAAAAAGATGACAAAAGTACAAGGGCTGTAAGAAATACTTTCAAAATAGTCTCCTTACTGACTTCCTTGTGTTTGTTTTGCTTTTCCTGTTTTTTTTTTTTTTTTCAATTAGCAAACAATGACTTTTTCCAGGCTCTGAATGACCGAAGAGTGTTTCAGACAGATGTGATGACATACAGCATAGAAGAGTTGATGGCAGTTGCGTCTGAACACACTCCAAAAAACACTGTAAGGAATTCAGGCACACTCAAGGAGTTCATCACTTGCCATTTCACTATTTAGTCTCCTTACATCGTTTTGTGGAAATAGAATGTGTAAAATTGAAAAGCCTTTAAATTTTAGCCAGACAGGCCTTTGTGTGTTTAACGGTAGATCAAGACTACTTCTTGTCTGTGCTGACTCAGGGTACTTAACAGCAGTAAGTGAAGAAATACCTATTTTTCTTTTTTTTTTCTTTTTTCTTTTTTTTTTTTCTTTTTTTTGCCAGAGGCAACAACTAGCTCTTTGAGAATCTTATTTGAGAATTCATTTACAGCATAGTAATCTCTTGAGACAGACTTAGCAGAATGTTTTCAAAGCTGATCAAGTCCATAGTCGTGCGGGACTTCGGTTTCTATTTGTACTCCTGGATTTAATTTTTTTTTTCTTGATTTGCAGTATGTGTCACGCTTTCTGGCTCTGCTTCAAAGAAAAGAGTGTTTCTTGAGATTCAGTACTGTTAGATGCCGTATCAGAAATACTGCAAATGCTTTCTACTTGAAAAGTTCTCAGAATATTTTTTTATATGGAATTGTGGTGAATACTCTGAAATTTGGGGAGAAGCATGTGGTGTGATAACCAGTCATTCTGGACAATGGCAAGCATCACTGTAATCTGTTTCAGTTTTGATGTTGCCGTCTTATTAGCATTTGTAAATCGAGAGTAAGCTACTATAGCATTGGAGATGGTAGTTTATGCACAACTTTAATTGGACGCTAACTTAAGAACACGTTTTTGAACCTCTGTCTCAGGTTGTGGTATGTGGTGGTTTTGGGTTGGTTTGTTTGTTTTGGGGTTGTTTTTGTTTTGTTCTTTTATCCTTACAATATTGCTACCATGTTTTGGGGGAGGATTGCCTTGAACAATGTTTGTTTTCCAGGACACATTTGTGGCTGTGTTTTCCTTGCTTTCTGGACGCATAGTGCATATTTCTGAGCAGGCAGCATCCATTCTAAACTGTAAGAAGAAGGTCTTGAACTCCTCCCGGTTTGTAGAGCTGCTTGTCCCTCAGGATGTGAGTGTGTTCTACACACACACCGATCAGTCCCACCTGCCGCTTTGGAACATGGAAAGTCAAACAGGTGGGACTTGGCAATGCTCTTCAATGCTTTATGTATCTTTCTGTCTTTGCAGAATGAGGATAGAATTAATTTCATTCAATTCAGTTCATTTTAACTGCTTATGCTAGCAATATACGTAGGCCGCGCTTGTTCGCTTTCCACTTTGAAAACTTGAGTAGCTATGCATCTAGTCCTAGCTAGTCTCCTAGAGGCTTAACTCTTACTTGGGGTAAGTAAAAGGCAGATACTTCATTGTTTTGTGTACCATCTTACTCATTGCAAATACTGCTGCTTTTTAAAAAGAAACTAAAGGTCTAATTGTGGGTTTAAAGTTATTTAATCTACATTTTACGGTTGCTTAGGTGCTTTGTCTTTATGGTCTGCTTGCAGCCTGCTGTGAACATAGCTCACTGAACACAAGTTTTAAGCTGACTTGCTATTTAGTGCTGGATGTGCCTAAATGGTGACTTTTGAGTCCTGTGTTATTTGTGAGCAATTCGGGTGTAGCTTGCATGCCAAGGCCATGTCTTGTGCCCACGTAGCTGTGGGGCTGTTCCGGCATCAGAGCTGGGAAGTCCAAAGTCCTTGCTACCAAAGGATGTGAGACATGAGAGGCTGCTAATGCTAACATGCCAGGGATTCCACAACTTGGAAGCCAATCATGTGTTTACCCAGCAGAGCAGTGGCACCCCTATGGAGTTGTTATTTTCTTGCTGTGAACTGTTACTGAATTTTCCTCTCACCATAACTCTGTATATAGTTTTTGGCACATCGCTTGTAAAGCCAGGAATTTTCGCCTTTCCTTTTCATAGTGATGAACTGGGGAAAGGAGTTTTTTAGATCATGTGTTTTTTCTGCTGGATTTAGTTCCAGGTCAGCCATTTCTCCAAGAGTGAGTGGGCTGGAGAAGAGAATAACGTTTGAGGTGGGAGCAGACTGTTGGAACAGCTAATTCACTAGCTAATAAAGAGCAGGTTGTGAGACTTTGGTCTTGCTCAGAAAGTCTGGAGAATACAGAGTTTAAAATAGTTTTGATAGGTGTGACCTTTTTAAGGATATTAACTGATACTTTCAATGTGTGTTCTTCTTATTAGCTTCTCTGTATGAATATGCCCAGGTGAAATCCTTTTTCTGCAGGATCAGGCAAGTACATTATTATAGTTTTATGTTTGTGAAGGCTGGGCAAAGGGTACAGTACTGGGCAGAAAGAGTGTCCTGTTGTTACAACTGACCAGTGTGAGCTCGTGGAACTCCATTACAAAATTGGCTTATTGTGTTTAATATTGGCATCCAGCAGGACATTTTGGATATCTTTCCCATAGCGATGCTTAAACTCGCATGGGGATAGAAGGAAAACTGTGCATACATGTTTCTTTTGGACCTATCAGTTTCCTTCAGTACTGTTGTGCAGGAGAAGAATGATCTTGTGAGAAATTGCTGCTTCCCCTTTTACAGTTTGAGAATGGAGGCAAAGGGTGTTTTGCTTAAGATTGAGAGTTTGTGACAGAGGCAATAACAGAAACTCAGTCACCTGAGTCCCAGTATGAAACCTGAATCATGAGATACTACTTGCTGTCACTTGATGCAGTTTGTTGCTTTGTGCCTGGCTAATCTTAGTGTTAAAAGAAGAAAAAAAAAAATTGAGATTGGCCTGTAATCTTCAGTGCAGACTCGGGTGGTCTCTTGATTTCAGTAAGAATTGTTTCCTTCTGAGCAGATATAATACTTACTCCATCTTTCAGTCGATCATTGATTCATTCATCTGTTTCAAAAACCCGAGCTCTAAAATCATCTTTGTCTCTTGAATTGTTTAAGGGCACTTGGAATAAATATAGCAGGACAGATATCAATTCTAAGTTGGGGGAACTGTTTGTAGGATACATAAACATTTTGCAATAGTTTTTCTTCAGATTTTCATATGACATCTCTCCTTCCTTTACATAACAGATCCTTTTGATTATGTGGGCTTCATGAGTAAAAATATTTTTTCACAAGCACACACTAGGCTTAAGTATGAAAATGTTTTTTTGTGGGTTAAACTCACTATATCC